TTAAGACCATTGTTAGAGGAATAAGGGAAAAACATAACATATTCTGACCAAAAAAAACTGTTATCTTTGGGATTTGGGAAGTTCAATAATCTTATTGTCTTAAGATGTCTTCTCTTTTTCTTATTTATTGATGCAAACACCATGCAACAGGTGTTAATTGAATAATGTTTAATTTAATACCACTACAGTTTTTATCTATTTTTATTCATTACTCAACACAAGTATTTAAACCAAAAAATATACACTTTGAAACATCTTAAAACGGGTTACCAGAGAGCAAGTATGCACATTGTCTTGGTTTTTGAAGCAAATTCAAAATATGATATTTCCTTCAGCAAATGACCTATTGGCCCTTATTGTCAAGGTGATTCATTGGTGAACCTGGAAATCCATTGATTCTGACTGAAACACTCCACTTTCTTCCTGAATGATGACTACATGTATCACGTATAGCTCAACCCTTTGATTTCCTTGCTGCGATCAGAATGCTAGACTTTCATGGCCCCCGACTTCTTTGAAGACAACTGCGTTATAACTTCCTAGATGATGGTAATTATCTCATCATCAACCATTAAGCGTAGGTTGTTAAAAATCCCAGATTTTTTTTTAAAGCTGCTAGGAAATTGTGATGAGATCAGCGAACTCCCACAAGATTAAAAAGATAAATATGGAAAGGAAATGACCTTGGACTGGTAATTCAATAGATAAAGATCTAGTAAAACAGCAGCATAATAGGCTAACAGTTAGACATAATGGTTAAGTTGGATGGAAATGGTAATAAATGATTGATTATTTATATTGAAGCCGGAGTTTTCTGTAGTACCTCGAGGAGAGTTATGTAGTATGTATATTGTGTCACTGTTTTGGGTTACAGTAGCTATACAAAATGTTGAAATAGTTGCACCAGGCTGTTGGTTGAAACAGTTAAGTGTTTCCTCAGTTGAAACATGGCATATTGTTTCAGTGGTTGAAACATAATAAAGTATTTTATCATAACTGATTAAGATTGAAACAAAGTGGTTCCTTGGTTGAAACATAAAGTATATTTAGCCAGGGTTGACAAAATAATTCCTTGGTTGAAAATATGGGCAGCTGTGAAGTACACTGAACTTCTTTCTGCATCATGTTTTTATATTGCAGAACTTACATAACAAAACATTCTAGTTTTCATCTGCTTCTGTTTGTAAGTAGATTTTTTTAACGGCATAGGGATCCCTGTGTCACTACCAAAAACTGAAAGCATGCATTGAAAACTTATGTTACCTGAGTACGACCACAGCTTAATCATTTCTTAAAAGAAAAATATGCCTTTCAGGACTTTTATGAAAAAATGATTGAGATGAAATAAATACAAAAATAATCAAGGGGGCTTGACTGGGATTGGAACACTGGAGTTGATATTGTTACACTATCACTAACTGATTCAGCTACCTGGTCACTGGAAGTCTCCTGGTCCACCTATGCTACAGTTATCTCCAAATAGAAACTAATAGGGGTGTTTATTTCATGTACACAAAATCACAGTGCAGTGGGTCAGGGATCCTTAAGTAAGAATTAATAATCTTCAATAATATCTGGTAGGTCCTGAAAACTGTTAGGAATAGGTAGTTTGTTGTGTTCTTTGTACTGTGGCCAAAGGTCAATTTGTCATTACTCCAGGAATCTCAGTTAGCAGGAGAACATTTTCTGGTAGGTAGATGTTGGTGGGAGGGTTCTGTCTATAATCAATGGCCATTAGGTTGGGAACAAGGTGAACTTGTCCACCAACATTTTCCTGCTCGTAAGTGGGAGTTTAGAGGTACAGGTATGAAACTGTGTGTAGTGATAATGAGGGTGAAACAGACAAACTCATTTCATTGTCATCATTAATCCAGTCAGCAAACATTGACACGAGGTAAACAGGGCTAAAAGTCCAGGGTCACATATCTCAACGAGCTAATACAAGTAGTGTGTGGTTGACATAATGGATTTTATCAGTACATGTCTGTATTCCATTGTGGTTTTAAGTATATAAGGGGAACAGCATAGTAGTTTTAAGTGTGGTAATTGGCCTTCAGATGGGAAGGAATTGTTACTGGCACTGACGTTAATTTGTGGAGGAAATCACTACAAATTGTGATCACCTAAAATAAAACATGTTAACCTACTTTATAAGTTTTCTTATAAGTAGGGTTGTAGTAATCATTTCAAGTCACCATTTCCCCAGTATGTTGAATAATATATCAGAAACCAATTGATCAGAATATTTGGGGGAGTGAGTGGTGATCAATTTTACCTACCAGGTAGGTAGGTTTGAAATATTGATGCAAGGGTCATCAAGGTCGACCGTAATTTGAACCATGACTCGGCTAGAATGAGATGTAGAGACATAGAATTCTTGTCAGTATTTACATAATTCATGCTTATCAATGTTTATCATGGGGGGATGAAGTTCATACACATTTAGATATCTAGAGATAGATGGCTGACTGCCAGTAAGCTTAGATAAGTGTTTATTTATAAAGTCCACAACACCATAGGAGCAGGGTCACAGACCCTTAGCTTTACTTCCCTGAAAACCTCTGTTGAATCCTCTGTTGAATTGATCCTCATTGAACACCACGTCATTCGTCAGACGGGTTACGTACTGGTGGAGTCATTCGTCAGACGGGTTACGTACTGGTGGATTCCAGGATACTCAAGGTCACACATGACTTACTAGCAACCATGGTTGATTGCAAACTTACTTAAAAATCTCGATTTGATTGATCGATTTCTCTGTAAGGTTTTCTGTAAGTCACCTTAATAAAATACTAGCCACTCATTACTGACCCCTCCACAAGGGCAAATTTCAGACAAGTAAATCAGAGATCCTTTGCTAGTGCACCTCAGCAAAATGTGAAAATATGAAACCTTTGGTCTCAAGATTCTGTTGCTTTGATGAACGACATTAGTTTACGACAAATGACTGAACAGAATGCAGTTTAATGCTTAAATTTTTCATTGAAATTGACCAGAAATTGATATTCAGATTTCACATTTCACTTTTGCGGTAGATTTTCAATAAATGGAAGAGCCAACGTTGGCCAGCTATTTCCAACATAATGATTGTGACAGCTTCATTGTAAAGATGTCACGATCATCCAGAGTTATGGTCTCAGCTCAAAAAAAAAAAAAAAAAGTAGAATATAACTGTCAACAAAATATTCAAAAATTATGATTATCTAACAACAAATTCAAGGTAAATGCACGTGATTAGTTAATTTCAAATTGTAGAACATTAGGTAAACCTTGAGAGTTAACTAAGTAGAAGTTAGATAAACACGACTTTTTTTAAATCAGTCTGTCGTCGATTAACGTCAGAACTCTATTCTTTATGCACAAGATGAACATAAAATTACATTCCTCAAACAACCGATACAATCACTAAAAACATATTTTTTCAAATTTACTCTATTTTAGTTTACGTATTTGATAGCCACGCCTTCTATTGCCACGTGACTAAAATCTCGTCGACCTACGTCATGACGTTGGGAAATACCTTCGGTAACACGAGATCTACGATCTTTGAAACATATTATTGATACCACCTAGTGCATAAAGAATAAAACTTTCGATCCATGTACGACAAGTGTGTGAAAGTGACGATTTGTTTCTAAAATATCATATTTCCTGCATATTATAGAGGGCTGGAGTTCTGATGTTAATCAAAGACAGACCGATATAAAAAAAGTCAATAAAACATCAGAATAATTCAGACTAGGGAATTACCAACACACACAATAACTTACGAAAGTCCGTCTCGATTGATCTTCTGACTAATTGAATTGACACTGGCAGATTTAATTGAATGGGTCTGTCTCTGGGTTGATTTTATACATATTTAAGTAAAACTTCACTTGCAGTTGAAATATTACTTTGTATGACTCCGAAACTCTCTGTATCTCAGAGAACAGGCACCTTTTGATACTGTTTATTGACAAGATTCAAGTTCACAAGCTTCATATGATTATAAACGTTATATAATGTCCAGATTCTTGAATGATTAATTGCCTGGTTGTAATTTGTTATGTCGATAAAAGTACATTTTTCAGACTTGCTAGATTTCTCTCAGCTACTGGTGATCTTGAAACTCCACAGTCTCCTCCTTTACATCCAATGATGAGCAGGGATTTAGAAACCAGTACACCTCGCATTGGATCAAACGCTTTGTACTAGATGAATGTAGCAATCAAATTAATTGCACATTTATTTAACCTAAAAGTATTGATCATGAGGCTAATTAAAACCCACTTCCTTGGTATCCCCAGTGTAAATGTTGGAGGAAATAGTTGATGCTGAGGCCAGCACTGTTCCTTAGACAACTGGTAATTTTTACATCTTAATGAATCCCTAGTACTGGTCTTTTTCAGTAAATTAGATTGTATGGAAAAAATCTTTCCTATGTGTAGTAACAAATTATTTCTGAAGGAAATTGTTTGACAGATGTATGTATTCCATATTGCCTCTTTGCACTGGTAAACTGGTACAGTATACCCTCACACCAGAACAATGGTTAGCAATATTCCATCTGAATCACCATTGCAAACTAATTTCCCATACTTGGTAATTCCAAGGTCTTGTTCCCTAGATAAGTATTGGTGATAATTGATTGACAGTAACATATTGAGCCATGAAACAGGATTAGATTCCTGGAGAAATGACCTACACATGATGATAATGTCCACTTCTAATGTAGAATAAGACCCAGTTGTGGATAGATGAGGGACTGACCAAAGGATGTTTGTCACACCTGATGTATGCGTTCATTGGTAATTTGATCAGCGTCCATTGATTGTGTTATGTAGAAGAGAGACAGTCTTGTTTTGTCTGAAATGTGGTATTGACATTGTAGAAATTAGATCAGGGTTGAAGTAGTTACAAGGTGTGTGACACTCGGCTGGCTTTGTGTGATGTGTATTGACGTTTGTATGATGTCATTATTGTACGGATCATGATCTTGTGCTTCTCTGTGATTTCAGACTCTATCAGTGACAGATGACACAGTGCTGGAGGAACACAATGAAGACCCAGCTCTCATACAGATGCGATTAATTGATGACGGAGGTAAGACCAAATATTTCTTATTGTCATTGATCTCTTGTTCCTAGTAAAGCCACCTAGCTTGTTCCTTATATAGCCACAAGTATATATGATCACTCCCCAAGCAAATGACCGCAACCATCTTTTCTTAGTGTAATGTGACTAAACATGGTCACTTTCATAGCCAAAAATGACTGTTCATGGTCACTTCCCAAGTTAATAGTGACTTGCCATGGTCACTTTCTTAGTTATATGTGACTAACCATGTTAAGTAACTGTGGTCACTTTCTTAGTTATATGTGACTAACCATGTTAAGTACCTGTGGTCACTTACTAGGTATTGTGACTAACCATGTTGACTAACTGTGGTCACTTTCTTAGTTATATGTGACTAACCATGTTGCCTAACTGTGGTCACTTACTAGGTATTGTGACTAACCATGTTGACTAACTGTGGTCACTTACTAGGTATTGTGACTAACCATGTTAAGTAACTGTGGTCACTTACTAGGTATTGTGACTAACCATGGTCACTTTCTTAGTTAAATGTGACCAACAATTGTGACTTGCTTAGATAATTGTGACTGACCATGGTCACTTCCCTAGGTATTAGTGATTTGCTATGGTCACTTTCCTTGTTAAATGTGAACAACCATAGTCACTTCTCTAGTTAATGGTCACTTGGCTAGTTACCATGGTTATTTTTTAGGTTACCTGAGCTTTAGCTCAAGTGACCTATTGCTATCCGTTTTCGTCCGTCGTCGTCCGTCGTCCGTCGTCCGTTAACATTTTACATTTCAAACTTAAAGTCAAGTTCTGCTGGGCCGATTGAACTGAAAGTTGGTAGGAATGATCGCCTCATGGTCCTGACAAAGTGTTGTTATTTTTCGGGTCGATCAGAAATCCAATATGGCCGCCACGGCCGCCATTTTGAAAACCTATTTCAAACTTAAAGTCAAGTTCTGCTGGACCGATTGAACTGAAAGTTGGTAGGAATGATCGCCTCATGGTCCTGACAAAGTGTTGTTATTTTTCGGGTCGATCAGAAATCCAATATGGCCGCCACGGCCGCCATTTTGAAAACCTATTTCAAACTTAAAGTCAAGTTCTGCTGGACCGATTGAACTGAAAGTTGGTAGGAATGATCGCCTCATGGTCCTGACAAAGTGTTGTTATTTTTCGGGTCGATCAGAAATCCAATATGGCCGCCACGGCCGCCATTTTGAAAACCTATTTCAAACTTAAAGTCAAGTTCTGCTGGACCGATTGAACTGAAAGTTGGTAGGAATGATCGCCTCATGGTCCTGACAAAGTGTTGTTATTTTTCGGGTCGATCAGAAATCCAATATGGCCGCCACGGCCGCCATTTTGAAAACCTATTTCAAACTTAAAGTCAAGTTCTGCTAGGCCGATTGAACTGAAACTTTGTAGGAATGATTGACTCATGGTCCTGACAAAGTGTTGTTATTTTTCGGGTCGATCAGAAATCCAATATGGCCACCACGGCTGCCATTTTGGAAAACTATTTCAAACTTAAAGTAAAGATCTACTTGGCCGATTGAACTGAAACTTTGTAGGAATGATCGAATCATGGTCCTGACAAAGTGTTGTTATTTTTCGGGTCAATCAGAAATACAATTTGGCTGCCATGGCCGCTATTTTGCTACTAAGTTCTAATAGGCCGATCTCACTTAAAATTGGTCTAGGAATGATCAGCTCATGGTCCTGACAAAGTTAAGTTAACATTATACTATTTTTTACTCAAATTGGTACATATTTCAACAACAAAAATAAATACTGTAGACTCAGGTGACCGTTAAGGCCCATGGGCCTCTTGTTTAGTTAAATGTGACTAACCATGGTCACTTGTCTAGTTAATGGTCACTTGCATGGTCACTTTCTTAGTTAAATGTGATTTAGCATGGTGACTTACCAATATAATGGTAACTAATCATGGTCACTTTTCTAGCTTACCATGGTCACTGATTACCCGAGCTATTGATGACAAACCATGGCCATTTCAAAAAGTGATGGTGACCTCATTAGAATAAATCATCATTTTCAGGGAAGTGTTCTCAGAGCAACAACACTTTATTTCACCCTATTGTATTAAACCTAGCTAAAGGTAGATACACCAACACAGCTAGGTATCAGCGGTCACTCCTCACGGTCAATCCCAAGTATTCAGGGTGTTGATAGCAGAGATATCTTACAGGGATAGGTCAAACTGTGGTTTCTATTCCCTTTTACATTAAGTTAACCCACATGTAACCCCCCAGGTGTGATAGAGCGCGTTAAACCTTGTTGTGGTGGAGACATTCCAGTTAACCCTCATGTAACCCCAAGGTGTGATAGAGCGCGTTAAACCTTGTGGTGGAGACATTCCAGTTTACCCACATGTAACCCACCAGGTGTGATAGAACGCGTTAAACCTTGTTGTGGTGGAGACATTCCAGTTTACCCACATGTACCCCCCCAGGTGTGATAGAGCGTGTTAAACCTTGTTGTGGTGGAGACATTCAAGTTTACCCACATGTAACCCCCCAGGTGTGATAGAGCGCATTAAACCTTGTTGTGGTGGAGACATTCCAGTTTACCCACATGTAACCCCCCAGGTGATAGAGCGTGTTAAACCTTGTCGTGGTGGAGACATTCCAGTTTACCCACATGTAACCCCCCTGGTGTGATAGAGCGTGTTAAACCTTGTTGTGGTGGAGACATTAAGTTTACCCACATGTAACCCCCCAGGTGTGAAAGAGCGCGTTAAACCTTGTTGTGGTGGAGACATTCCAATTTACTCACATGTAACCCCCAAGGTGTGATAGAGCGTGTTAAACCTTGTTGTGGTGGAGACATTCCAGTTTACCCACATGTAACCCCCGCGGTGTGATAGAGCGCGTAAAACCTTGTTGTGGTGGAGACATTAAGTTTATCCACATGTAACCCCCCAGGTGTGATAGAGCGTGTTAAACCTTGTTGTGGTGGAGACATTCCAGTTTACCCACATGTAACCCCCCAGGTGTGATAGAGCGTGTTAAACCTTGTCGTGGTGGAGACATTCCAGTTTACCCACCTGTAACCCCCCAGGTGTGATAGAGCGCGTTAAACCTTGTTGTGGTGGAGACATTCCATTTGTGACTAAGCAGTTATTTCTGAACACAAACGTCATTGGAGCATTACCAATCTGAATACTGTCGTCAGTAGAGCATAACCTATCTTCATAATGTTTGTTAGCTTTTGGTATTGTATTATAGATAGTTATTTTTTGTTTAAAATACATTTCTCTCAGTAAGATATATATCTCATTTTGAAGGAGGCCTTGACATTATATTTTTCCAGGGACTGTCTCAAAATGATTTTTGTGAAATTTGACAATTATCTTTACAAAATATAAGATTGTTCATATTTAATAGGTTCCACGATTGATCACTCTTTTGAAGCAGGGACAAATTATGGTCCACTTTGAGTGGAGTGTAATTTTAGTATACATTGGATCTGGTTTTTGTCCCATAAATTGTTTTTTAATGTACACACGTGACCTAGACAATTACTGTTGATTTATAATTATTTAGCTGCCTGCCACAAGCAAATAGCTTTTTTGTTGTCCCTGCATTGAAAAGGGAACTGTTTTGAAGATGTAATTGCTTACAGTATGTGGTAGATTTTAATGGATCTGACACTCAATAGTGGAGAGGTTCTCATAATTACACTACAGTGACAAAGAGTCAATTTACTGTTGACAGCTTACATCAATAGTTTCCACAAAATTCAATTTTGGAATCTTTGTTGATGTAGGACTATTGTAGTCCTATTGATTTTGCCCTAAATGTGACATGTAGACATGTATTTAGCTTGTCATAATACTGTAGGATTTCCAACAACTCCCCAGCCCTAGATAGAATTTACAACAACTCTCCAGCCCTAGGTAGGATTTACAACAACTCCCCAGCCCTAGATAGAATTTACAACAAGTCCCCAGCCCTAGATAGAATTTACAACAACTCCCCAGCCCTAGATAGAATTTACAACAACTCTCCAGCCCTAGGTAGGATTTACAACAACTCGATCCCCAGCCCTAGATAGAATTTACAACAACTCCCCAGCCCTAGGTAGTATTTCCAACAACTCCCCAGTCCTAGATAGAATTTACAACAACTCCCCAGCCCTAGATAGAATTTACAACTCCCCAGCCTTAGGTCGGATTTCCCACTTGCAAAATATAGGTAGGAAATCAAACTCAACAGTGGAAGGTAGGGTTTCTGTCTCGACTGTTGTAGGTAGCGTTTCTGTCTCAACTGTTATAGGCTAAGGGTTTCTGACTCGGCATTCATAGGTAGGTTTCTGACTCGGCATTCGTAGGTAGGGTTTCTGGCTCAGCAGTCGTAGGAAGGTTTCTGGCTCGGCAGTCGTAGGCAGGGTTTCTGGCTTGACAGTCGAAGGTAGGATTTCTGGCTCGGCATTCGTAGGTAGGATTTCTGGCTCGGCAGTCGAAGGTAGGATTTCTGGCTCGGTATTCGTAGGTAGGATTTCCGGCTTGGCATTCGTAGGTAGGATTTCTGGCTCAGCAGTCGTAGGTAGGTTTCTGGCTCAGCAGTAGTAGGTAGGGTTTCTGGCTCAGCAGTAGTAGGAAGGTTTCTGGCTCGGCAGTCGTAGGCAGGGTTTCTGGCTTGACAGTCAAAGGTAGAATTTCTCAGTGACATTAGTCCAACTTTTACTTTCTGATGCTAACTTAACGTTTCTTTGTAAATTCAGTAATGGTTTCTCCTAATTATTTACCAACAGTTTTAAAACCAAATATTAAACTGAAGTTATACACAAGAACATTACATCATTGGTAATGTTCGAGCTGATTATGAATTAAAAGGAAGGCCAAATGTCTCACAACACCATGTATTAAATATAAACATGACAGTGTAAGACCCAGTCCTTGATTAACATATATATTCTGTCATGTCTGTTTTGGAATTAATAAGACATGTTTTACATGCGTAATGGGTTTTTCCGAACCCCACGCTCTCTACCAC